TCCCCATCTGATATGTGAACCACCCAGCCCATGTGCCTACATTTGTGCAAAATATTTTTTAAAAATGAAGACCCCGTTCATTCATGAGATGCATCTGGCTTATGTTTAATTCCTGCTTGATAAAACTTGTTAGCAGTCCTAAGGGAGATCACCAGCTCCCCTCCCGCACCCGGCGGTGAGCTTTGGGAATAACTCGTGGTGTGTCTCCCTGGCTACTGGTATCATGGAAGAGGCAATCTCTAAGCTTGCCCAGGTAGCGTTGGGATGTATGTGTATGCTGCCATCTAGTGGCTGTAGACACCCGGCACTTATTTGCTACTTTCTCATGAGAAGAGAAGACTCCCTGGAAAAGACCGTGATGCTGGGAAAGTGTGAAGGCAAGAGGAAAAAGGAATGACAGAGGATGAGATGGTTGGACAGTGTCACCGAAGCGACCAACATGAACTTGACCCAACTCCGGGAGTCAGTGGAAGACAGGAGGGCCTGGCATGCTCTGGTCCATGGGGTCACGAAGAGTCAGATACGACTTAACAACTAAACAACAACAATAGTAATATTTGGTTTGATGGATTAGAGGGACAGACTAGGATTTAGGAGCCCTGGGTTTGAATCCACCTCTCTCCCATGGAAACTCACTGGGAGTGTGGAATTCGCAAAACCACTCCTTAAATATCTCACTGACCTTTAAAGAATTGTTAAGGTTGTTGCAAGTTGGTTTCCAACTTGACGGCACATAACAGTCATATTTACGCATAGAGAGTCAGCTGCAGAAGCGGCAGCTGGAAGAGAGAAACTGTGGTCTTTAGGATGTTTTTGAATTCCAGAACCTGTCGCTACCCGACATGGCTCGTCCTCGTAGCCCAACATCTAAAAGGTCAGATTTCCCAGCTGTGAGCTACCGAATTTTAGATGGTTTCTGCACATCATTATTAAGTGTGTGTGTAGCTAAATCATTATTAAACATTTGTGCATCGCTATGAGAAATAAGATGAGCCACGTCTCACTTTTACCCGCTGGGTTCACTATATCCCCTTCTTAGTTGCCATTCCATTGTTGAAGGTATGTTTCTTTTTTCCAGTTATTGTCTATACAAATCTGGCCGTCTTGAAGAGCATAAAATGTGGCCGCCTGGCTCACATTTTATGCTGAGCGCAATAAAAATGTCTCTGAATAAATTAATAAAATTAAGTAAGAAGAAGTAAGCGTTGCTCCTTAGAGAATTAAGCTAGCCAGTGCTGTGGCTGCCAAGGGGGGGAGGTAAGCCAGTTGACTGTTAAAACAAAGGCTGGGCAGTTAACTTTCAGAATGGTTTAAGGCATGTAAATGTAAACTGATATAATAATATAGTGGCTGCCTTGGGACTGTGTTGAAAATTTCTGGAACTGCCAGTGGGGCAGAAATCATGGTGACTGTCATGAATATCTGTGGAGGGGAGGCCACGAGACCACTCCTCCTGCAAGACCTGAATATATTTATTTACGTTAATATACATAGATGGACAGGCACATGTCTAGCTAAGTCTGGATGTCTCTGAAAGAAGCAGGTTTCTAGATATACAAAACAGGCAGTCAACAGAATCAAAAATGGCACACCTCGCAATTCAAGGACGCAAATTTTGTTTTGCTGGCAGATGTAAATGGTATTCTATAAGTGTATATATCTGCATTATGATTACAAACCATTCTGCTGCTTTCCCTTCTGTTTCATAACAGACACCCTTGGTGATTGACCGTTGTACCCTTTGTTGCTGCTGCTGCTGCTGCTGTTTGTTTGTTGTTTAATTAATTAATTAATTAATATCCCACCTATCTAGTCAATTAAGACCATTCTAGGCGGTATTCTATAAGTGTATATATCTCCATTATGATTACAAACTATTCTGCTGCTTCTCCTTCTATTTCATAACAGACACCCTTGGTGACTGACCGTTGTACCCCCTTGGGTGGCCTCTGATTGCTTCGTACAGTAATTTTGCGCAAGCGTGGATTTCCTGCAACCCCGTTTGCTTTCTTGTGCATCTTGGCTGTTGTGGTGTATGAGCTGGCTTTATAAAATGCACTCACTTGGTACCCGTCTCTTGAAGGCAGAACAAAGATCTCTATGGCATCTCGATGAATCGTCTGCAAAAGATTGCATGCCCCAGTCCTGTGCCAGAAAGAAAGATCTGGGCCAGCTCTTAAAAGGGGAAGGATGGGCCATTTTAATTAGAAGGACAAACGGATGAGGTCTTTTTTTCCCCCATGCCAAACAGTGCCATCGCTGCAAAAGATTGCATGCCCCAGTCCTGTGCCAGAAAGAAAGATCTGGGCCAGCTCTTAAAAGGGGAAGGATGGGCCATTTTAATTAGAAGGACAAACGGATGAGGTCTTTTTTTTCCCCATGCCAAACAGTGCCATCAGGGAACCATATACCGTAACTATATGCCAGTGTGGACAGAATCTAACCTTATTTTGCCATAGCGTTCTGGGAGCCAGAGCCTACGTGCATCTCAGTGGAGAGATCCTAGCCCATGAAGGCATTAGTCATAATGGAGAAATTTGTTACATGTTAAGGTGCCACGAGACCTGGGGTATAAAGAGTATGTTTGCTTTATGGTCAATTAAGGCTGACGTCAGACCCTACAAGGTTCCTCACCTCTGGGCAAGAACAGCACAAGGAATATGGTCTTTTCTAGGCCTTTATAATGTGAACAAATATTTCAGAGGGAAAGCACACAATATGGCACTAATACAGGGTGGCTGCCTGATTGTTTCAGAAAGAGATGCAAACACCCCATCCACTGCTTCTGATTCTTACAAAACTGGGTTAACAGAGCAGCAGCTACAGTGGTCTTGCACAGTTTTGGGTGTCTCTGTGTGCGCATACACATTGTTTGCATATGTTTACTTCATTTACACAAAAACAAACCAACCAAAAACCCATTCCTGGATAGCTGAGTGGTTTAGGCATCTAGCTGTGGAGCCAGTGGTGGGGAGTTCGATTTCCTCACCGGGCCTCCTTGACAGGAGCTGGACTTGGTGATCCACAGGGTCCCTTCCAGCTCTGCAGTTCTGAAATATTCTTGTTGGGTTCTCTTGTTGAGAGAGTGCCACAACCTTTCTCATCGGTCTGCAGCACAAGGGGAAGTATTTTTGTGGTGGTGTGAGGAGCAAGGATTTAACTCCCTGAGCTGAAAGAGACTGTCCTTCCGGGAACGACAGAGTCTTTTGACTGAATTTTGAGCATGTGCAGAATCACTCAATACTTTTTACTGTTATGCTGATCTGAATTTATACCTTTAAATGTGCGTATTAGATATGAGTTGCCCTGTTATAGCTTGGGAATGGGACTAGGTAGGGTGGAAAACTTTTGGGTGGCCAGATATTTTGGACTACAACTCCCATTATCCCTGTCGGAATGTCTCCTTCAAAAAACAGCCACCTGGTTCAGTCCTTCCTCCCAGTCCTTGCTACTGAGGGTGGCCACACCAAGAGAGGTGAGAAAAGTCTCACCCAGAAATTGGGCCTTCTCTGTGGTGGCCCCATCCTGGTAGAATAAACTTCCATTAGAAGTGTGCCAGGCCCCCTCCCTCCAAGTGGTTAGAAAACTAGCAAAGGCAAAACTCTTTAAAATTGCCTTCTTCCATAGACAGGAATTTAGTACCTGTAACATTCGGCCTTTCTTTTCTGTCTGTCTGTTAGTTACTATCTGGGTATTTAAAACATTCTCCCCACACACATACACACCTTTGTCGTTAAAATGTCCCAAGTTGGCTTACATCATTAAAAGATCATATATAAGCTAGCAACAGCTAGTATTAAGCTAGCAACAGTGAGTATACAAATACTGAAAGGATCGAACAAATATCATACCAAAACAAAAAACAAAAAACAGAAGTAACACCACAAATACTGAAAGGATCAAACAAATACCATGCCGCCGCCCCCCCCAAAAAAACAGAAGTAACACCACAACACATTCAAAACAATAAGGCACAACCATCTGTTTAAAATAACCCACTCAGGCAGCCAGTCATTACGGGAGTAGCTTGCCTGGAGAGAAAGGTCTTTGCCTGCTTACAGAAGGACAGCAAAAATCAAATACTGAAAGGATCAAACAAATACCATGCCGCCGCCCCCCCCAAAAAAACAGAAGTAACACCACAACACATTCAAAACAATAAGGCACAACCATCTGTTTAAAATAACCCACTCAGGCAGCCAGTCATTACGGGAGTAGCTTGCCTGGAGAGAAAGGTCTTTGCCTGCATGCAGAAGGACAGCAAAAACGGGACCTGCCTGGCCTCCCGTGGGAGGGAGTTCCAGAGTCTAAAGGAGCAGCCACAGAGAAGGCCCTCTCCTGTGTCCCCACCAAACGCACCTGATGATCTTAACACTCCAGCAGGTTCATGAAGGGAGATATGGTTCTTGAGAGAGCTTGAACTCATTGTTACACCCCAGGTGGTAAGGTAAAGGTTCCCCTTGACAATTTGTCCAGTTGTGTCCAACTCTAGGGCGCGGTGCTCATTTCCGTTTCCAACCCATAGAGCTAGCATTTTTGTCCGAAGGCAATCCGTGGTCACGTGACCAGCACGACTTAGACACGGGACACTGTTACCTTCCCACCATGGTGGTACCTATTTAACTACTTGCATTTTGCATGCTTTCGAACTGCTAGGTTGGCAGGAGCTGGGACAAGCGATGGGAGCTCACTCCATCGTGTGGATTCGATCTTACGACTGCAGGTCTTTTGACTTTGCAGCACAGTGGCTTCTGTGGTTTAACCCGCAGCGCCACCATGTCCCGCGGCGGTATAGAAAGCCATAAACAAATATACATTGACCCCTGTGGCTTGTGGACCTTTGGGACTTAAAAGTCCAACAAGGTCCAGAGGGCCAAAGTGGCCCCCAACGCTCCTAAAATAGATGCTGCCTTCTAAGCGCCTTCTTACTCTATGATTCTGTAAACGAGTCCTGAGCTGATAACGACAAGAGTCTCCTCTTCTCCTCCTCGCTTTTGCAGGCAAGACAAGCTGAAGATCCACATGCGGAAGCACACCGGAGAAAGGCCGTACCTCTGCATCCACTGCAATGCCAAATTCGTCCACAACTACGACCTAAAGAACCACATGCGCATCCACACGGGCATCCGCCCGTACCAGTGCAAGTTCTGCTACAAGAGCTTCACGCGCTCCGACCACCTGCACCGCCACATCAAGCGCCAGAGCTGCCGGATCTCCCGGCCCCGGAGGGGCCGCAAGCCGGCCCCTTGGAGAGCAGCCAGCTTGCTCTTTGCACAGAACAGCCAGCCGGACGACAAGAGCTTCCTGGTGCCTCCGGCTCTGGAAGAGATGAGCGGCCATCATCTGGGCAGTGCGGCTGCCATGTGCCTTCCGGGCCCCAGCCCTAAGCATTTCATGGAAGGGGCCAAGAACGCTCTTAATTTGCAAGAGCTGGAGAGCCAGTTTGAGGAAACCCAAATGAAGCTCTTTGGAAGGACGCGCCTGGACATGGAGCAGAGCAGCAGCCTCTTCGCCTTCGCCCTGGGCCACAACGAGAGCCTCTCGGCACGGCCGCTGTTCTCTCTGCCGGACCCTTGGGGTGCAGGGTTCAGCGGACTGGCCGCCCTCAACCACCTCGCCCCCATCTAAGCCACCTTCTGTCCAATGGATGGTTTCGGTAAGTTCGATGCCGTGACTTGCCAGGACTGGTCCTCCTATAAGACTGGGAGAGCGGTTGACCGATTTGAGTTGCCAAAAACAGGCAGGCCATCCGAGGAGGCTGGAAAAGTTACTTTTTGGGATTGCAAGTCCCAATATTTCCCAGCCAGTACGGCCATGATCATTGGATTTACATCCCCTAGGGAAAAGTATCCTTTCCAAAACCTCTTAATAAGCTTAATAAGCTTTGAACTGCTGAGCTGGATGGGACCCTACGGATCGAGTCCAGCCTTTGTCAAAGAGACTCAAATTCCCAACCTCTGGCTCCACAACCGGAGACCTCAACCCATGAATGATCCAGCAGTTCTTTGGCCAGTTGCGATCAAACAATTGGCAGACAGTTTCATCTCTTCCATCCGAGGCGTTCCTTTCCCCATCTTTAAAGACGGTTATGCGAGGAATCACAATTAAAACCACTGTTGAATTTGCACAGTTCCGTGATGTAATTACACTTGGAATACTATATACGTTTTGTTTCTTTGTCTCTGTGCCTAGAAAACAACCTTTGTGGCCCTGGAGAAGGGACTCAAAAGGAGAGGAAGCCCACATTTTGATGGGGCTGGAGCTGCTCCCCTATGAGGAAACGTTACACAGTTCGAGGGCCTTCAGCTTAGAAGGAAGGCCAACAGGGCAGGCCCAACTAACCTATTTACAATTATGTGTGGTGTGGAGAAAGGGGTTAGGAAGAATATCGCATAACTTGGAAGTAATGTAGTAAAAAAATAACATTTGTTACTGGGAGAGCAGTAATGAAGGACAAGCAAAGGTTAGGAGTTCTTTCGTATAACGAGTTAACATCTACTCCCTGTTGTAAAAATATTGCTGCAATAATGGAGGAGGGGCATTTCTGGCCATTCTAGCAGAGATTTTTGACAAATAAATTGTTGATGGATAATGCGCTAATAACATGTTTTGGTATGTCAGAATTAAGAACTGACAAGTGACATGTTGAGTTTTAACAGGACGATGCCAAGCTCTGGAGAAGACTATAATGGGAAGTTATCAAATGAGTCTGATGGGTGGAAACAATTCTTTACTCTACTGTATATGTATAGCTATATACCAGTGATGGCGAACCTTTTTGAGCCTGAGTGCCCAAACTGAAAAGGAAACAAAAACAAAAACAAACCAGCAACAGCGAGTGGTGACGGAAGGGGGAATCCTGGACATTGAGCTGCCTCGAGATCCAGCTCCAGATCCGCTGCCGGCACCAGGTGCTCCGGATCCTGACCCGCCACCTATCGAAACGCCAGCACTGCGGCTGCAGCCGCCTTCTTAGGTTTGGCTGCGGGGGTGGATGGCGAGTAGCAATCCGGCAACTTTTGGCTCGTGTGCCCGCAGAGAGGGCTCTGCGTGCCAGCCTGTGGCATGCGTGCCATAGGTTCGCCATCTCTGCTATATAAATACCAGTGTGCTACTGCAAGTTGGCTGACAATTCAGGCAGCTTTGAAAGAGGAACGGACAGATTCATGAAACACAAGGCTATCCATCATGGTGGCTAGATAGCTCCACCGACATTGGAAACATTGCACTCCTTAATGTCACGGAAGATCATCAGCAGGGTGGTGGTTGGTTGTTTCTGCTTCACCTGTGCTTGGCTTGTGGGGTTCCCCCTTGGGCATCATTTTGGCCATGGTGGAAAGGAATTGGTCAGTGCTTCTCCACCAGATGTTCCTGGACTGCAGCTCCTAGATATCATGGCCAGCCCTGCTCGTGGGGAAGGCTTCTGGAAGTCGAGCCCAAGAACATCTGGAGACGCAAGGTTGGAAACCGTAGGCACTAGAGAGATGTTTTCATCTGTTCCAATGGGATTCTTCTCATGTTCGTAGGTCCTCTTTGCTCTATCAAACTTTTGCCTGTTGAAAGTGACACTTTTCCTCCGAATCGGCCTGATGGTTCTTTTTCCTTCTTCCAATCCACAGGCGTTCTTCAGCACTGCTGTGGTTCTCTCTTGCAAAGGGACATGTCAAGATTAAGGGACCGTTTCCCCCCCTTGTTGAAAGACTGAATCAGAAACTGAATTACTCCCCATGAACCGCCCAGACTGGTTTCCAGTCCACCCAAAGACAGCTTTCCTGTATGCCCAACCGACTTGGGGAAGACAAGCAGCGGTTTCCAAGCAGAACATCTGGATATTTTTTTCTTTAATGTACAGACATCTTTCTGAGCTATTGTTTTGCAGATGATGGTTTTCTTTAGACTTGGTCATTTGTTTGGGATTGGGTTGGGGTTTCTATTTGTTTGTTTGTGGGGTTTATTTTTTGTCTAACATCGGAGCCCTTGTAAAATATCCAAAGATTCTGAGTACTGTAGAAGAACTTGAAACAGAAGGGACCATTTTTGGGGGTTCCAGGGAGGGGGGAAGAGGGAGGGATATTATTTCTTATAATTCCTGATTGTTGGGATGGGATATGACAGGGAGGGAGGGAAATCCTTTGGAATTTTTCTATTTATAACTATTTTTATGTGATTGCTTTATGTAAAGAAAAGAAAAAGAGAGAGAGAGAGAAATGTTGTGAAACAGATTTGCCTTAGATAATCAAGGGACAATCATCCTTAACTTTTATTGAAGTTCTAGATTTTTATGTTTCTTTTAAAGATGAGAAAATAGGCTTTTATGTATTTATTAAGCAGTATTAATTGATTTTATTAAATTATTGGCAACATATAAGATTTTTTTTTTAAAAAAATGCACATTAGTAAGACATCGAGAGAGTAAAGGCTGTTTCACACTCCGTGGGGAAGTTTGACTTTCTGTTGAGTGTAGCTGTTTGATGCAGGAGTTTGTAAACATGCATTGTGTTCTTAGGTGTGTATGTAAAAAAAAACACAGGTGCACACCTAGGAAGCAAAAAAGTGTGAAGACAAGATTCCAAAATTTCTTGACAGTGTAAACTGGGAGTGAGCCAGCTACAGTAGTCTGACGAACAGTTTCTAGTCTGCATTATCTGCCAAGAGCCATACCAGTCCCTTAGAACAAAACTGGAGGTGCCCGGATGTCCACCCTGATTCTACAAAAACTTCCCTCTATTTGGGTAATGGACAGGAGGTAATACAAAAATAAGTATTTTTGGAGGTGTGGGAATGGAAGTAGGTAATTTCCTCCCACCCATTAAAACTCTTTTTGGCCGTTGAGCATAAGAAAAGTCCTGGTGAGAGACCCATATATGGTCTGTTGGTCTTACTTTGCTCACCACTGATTTAAACCCGCAAACGTTAGGGTCGGGCAAAATGCAAAGAATTTTGCCCGGTAGGCTTGCACAGACTAACACTGGCTACCTCTTCCAAAACTACAACATGTGTCAGGTTGTTACCCTTCTGTTGGATGGAGGAAGCCACAAACCAGCTGCTTTCAAAGGCCTTCGAAATGTGACTTTGCACCTTATTAGACATTTGATTGTTAAAAGGGAACAGTGCGTTCTGATTGTGTTGCTGCCGTGAACAAGTTAAGGTTGATTGCCCCTAGATGATCTGCTTTGGGTTATATGTTAACTGGCTTATGCCTCGGTTCATTTTCATGGTGGAAGGAACAATACAGACTTTTAAACTCTGGCAGTTGCTTGATATTTCTCTATAATGTGGCAATGTCCAACAGTGATATTATACAATTACAACAGCTTGTTGCAAAAGAAAGATATGTTCTACAGATGGTTGCCTTCTGTAGTGAAGAACTGGTGAAAGTCTCATGGTATCTGGTTTCTAGATTCCTACAAGGTTTTGCCTTCCTTCCTTTTATTTAGGTTTGCTTTTACAGGTGCAATTCTGGACCCTACTATTACGGGGAGACATTTGAAAACGCAATCCTGGCATGCACTCACCTTGCTACGTTCAGTTCTGGTAAAGAGTCTTGTGATGCACAACAAGAGTCGTTCCCCCCCCCCCAATCTGTAAGAGTTTCTTCAGTGACTTCAATGAGGGTGATAGGATGACCCCAATCCCAAGGGGATTGTCCTGTAAACTTCTTCTCCCACTGAAGTGAAAAGGGAATCTTTCTTGGGCAGAAACTAATTCTGATAATCATGGATGAGGGTCTGAAACAGGCAGGGGCATTTTCTGCCTAGATGTACAGTATAAAAATATTTTTATGCTTTGGTTTTAGATTAGGCATCCTTCAGTCTCGAGAGACTATGGTATCGTGCTCTGCATGGAGGACTTGGAACAGCATCTAGTGTGGCTGAAGAGGCCAATTCGAGAGTGACCATCCCTTCCACACTGAAGACAAAGACAATCTGTCCCCTGTCCAGCTCCCTGATTTTGCTGCTTTCAGGACGGCCTCTTTGCCTCAGCCTGCTGGACAAGGATCTCTTTAAATTGGGAGAGGCTGCCTGCCTCCAGGCTGAACGCTCTGATGTCTGGGTTTCCCATCTGTTGAGGTCCATTCCTAAGGCCTTCAGATCCCACTTACAGATCTCCTTGTATCGCAGCTGTGGTCTCCCTCTGGGGCGATTTCCCTGCACTAATTCTCCATACAGGAGATCTGCATCTGTTACATATCTGACCATCATGAAACACCCATACTTCTTGCATTGGGCTCCCCAAGCATCTGCTTTGCAGGTGGAGACAATCGTGATGCTGATGTGTTTTCTTAGTTTTTACTCTCACTTTGGGTCAAAGCAATGGCTGCCAAGTGGTACATGGGGAACTGCCATCCTTTGCATCTTTCAGAGATTTTTTTCAGTCATACATCACCTTGAGAGCTTTATTTAGATGGGTGAGTGACCTGCAAATGTATACAGGAAAGGCGATGCAAACTACGGTTCATAGAGGCAACATGGCAGCTTAGATTTGCCTGGCAAATCTAAGCCCAGTGGGGAGGAGAACTAGTTGAAGTCGAAATCCTTCAATTATTCAGGTGAAACAAAGATACTGTACTCCCAAACATCTTTTCCCCAATCTGGTGCTCCTCCACCTTCAGGCTACATGCCCTAACAACAACAACAACAATAATAATAATGACCCATCAAAGTCAGTTCTGTCCTGTGGTTTTCCTAGAATCATCGAATCATTGAGTTGGAAGGGGGTCTGTGAGGTCATTGAGTTCAACCCCCTGCTCAATGCTGTTTTCTATGTAGTTTGCCTGGGAAAGGGTACTGGAAACATTCAGTTCTTCCCTTGCTGCTGTGTACCGAAGGGGGGACCCAGTAATCCGCTTGACCAAGAGAAAAACCTTGTTTAAAGCAACAAGACGGTCTCCAGCCTGTATAAAGGGAAGCTGGAGTTCAGCAGAGCCCAGAGCACTCTGCCCACAGGGCTGTTAAGACCCATGGAAAGAAGCAAGATTCTAGTCCAAGTCCTTGGAGGTGGTTGACCAGTCTGTTCTTCTGGGGGGGGGTCACTCTGGGACTGTGTCGCTTGGCCCAGTGGCCACACAGGAAACAGGTCACATCACACATAACCAGTCTGTTCTTCTGGGGGGGGGGTCACTCTGGGACTGTGTCACTTGGCCCAGTGGCCACACAGGAAACAGATCACATCACACATGCTCTAGATAATGTTAGCTGGCCCCTTCCTCAGGCAGGGGTTCTAATCCACTGACCCTTTACTTAAGAGGCTCAGAAATCTGTGTGTCTATTTTTTTTTCTTTCATCTGGTAGAAACAATGAGGAAATCAGAAGAAAACTGAGACTGGGAAGGACATAAACAGAGGAATTTGCAAAGATGATCAAGTGATGGATGTGTCACTAGAGACCAAGATCATCCGTGCTCTTGTGTCTCTATTCCCATGTAGGGGTGAGAAAGCTCGGCAGTAAAGAAAACTAACGGGAAAAGAATTGATTCGTTTGAAATGTGGCATTGTAGGTGAGCTTTTCTAGAACCAATCAAGCCTAAACTATCTCTGGAGGCAACAAGGTAAAAACTGAGGTTGGCCTATTTTGGGCAGACCGTGAGAAGGCAGGATTCACTGGGAAATGATGGACGGCAGCAGGAAAAGAGGAAGACCCAATGTGAGATGAACTGACTCCCTAAAGCAGTGGATCCCAACTTTGAGTCCCCAGATCTTCTTGGACGAAAATTCCCAGAAGCTTTCATCGCGAGCTGTGCTGGCCACAATTTCTGGGGAATTGTAGTCCAGGAACATCTAGGGACTCAAGGTTGGAGACCCCTTCCCATAAAGGAAGCCACAGGCTTGAGTTTGCAAGAGCTGAGCAGGACTGTTGAGGATGATGGGACATTCTGGTGATGGCTCATTCTTAGGGTCGCCATGAGTGTTAGAGACAACATGATGGCACATAACAACAGCAATGGAACGCAGCTTTTTTTTTAAAAAAGTGCTGTGTTTATTCATAGGAATATACGAAGCTGCCTTCTTCCCTAAGGCCATTGACTTATCTAGCTGGAGGCTGTTAAAGTTACTTTTTGGGTTGTTCCTCCTGGAATACCTTAGGTAAAGGTAAAGGTAAAGGTTCCCCTTGTCAATTTTTGTCCAGTCGTGTCCGACTCTAGGGGGCGGCGCTCATCCCGCTCTTCAAGCCATAGAGCCAGCGTTTGTCCGAAGACAATCCGTGGTCACATGGCCAGTGTGATTTAGACACGGAACGCTGTTTACCTTCCCACCGAGATGGTACCTATTTATCTACTCGCATTTGCATGCTTTCGAACCGCTAGATTGGCGGGAGCTGGGACAAGCGACGGGTGCTCATTCCGTTGCGTGGATTCGATCTTACAACTGCTTGGTCTTCTGACGCTGCAGCACAGGCTTCTGCGGTTTAGCCCACAGTGCCACCACGTCCCTTGGAATACCTTAGGCAGCATGAATTATTGCATTTATGCAACTGCTTCAGTAGTGTTAGAGAGCTGTCTTCTGCAGCTGAATCAAAGAGTGTGTGTTTTCTTTGTCTGGAGACATCCTCAGTTCAATTCCCTCCATGTTAAGATATTCAGAAGCAGAGCGTGGGGAGCATCCTGCTTTCAAGACATCGGGAGCACGCAGGCTTCAGGAAATGTGTTTGGCACCCTGTAAAGGCACTTAATTTAGAGCCCAAAGCTCCTGAAAAGTAAGGCTGGATGCAATAGAGCAATTAGAGGGTATTTTGATTGATTGATGATCTGACATATTTATAAATTACCCTTAACCCTTAACGATTTTTTTAAAATCAAGTAAAAACGGAAGTAAAGCTGGCATAACCATAACAGTCAAAGGAGAGATGATTCCAGCGTATTCGTCAACAGAAAATCAAGAAAGGACATTAAACCCACTAAAATCACGACAAAACTGCACAGTCCTCACTACTTATCTAAAGTGTTAATAAAAAGAGATGACCTGAAGGTGGGGTGCTGTTTCAGAAAAGGCCCTGCACAAGAGCTGGTGAACCTAACCTCTGACAAGGATCACAAAT